CCCCCCCCCCTCCCCACTGGAAAATTTGGCAAATTGACCCCCCCTCCCCCCTGGAAAATACGATCCCTTCCGTGGGGGGGTATGGATATTTTCTGGAACCGCACATTAACAATATATAAGAAGCGTAAAACGTAGAATCCCTTGACTTGAAATCAAACATCTTGTATGACTTTTTATATGATTTTATTTTACTATATGTATATACTTTTTGCTTGATTTATTTGTTTATTTTAGCCTCGTACCTTTCTGTTTTTGGTGGCAACATTTGTTTTCTGTGTTTAGTCATACAAATTAGTCGCATACTCGAAACATCTCCACGTTTTTCAATTGCTTTGTAAAATGTAGAATCCCTTGACTCATAGTTATTAGAGGAGACTGGTTATGAAAAGCGGCAAACATCAATGATAAAAACAACAGTGCTGCAGTTTATGTTGGAAGCACGCTGAAAGTGCACAATCCTTTGTTTTCTGTCGGCAAATTGTTATGGAATAAATTAATGCAACGTTTTTATTGGTCAATACAATCAAAATGATAGGAATTCTTTTGAACGTTGTGCACTTTCAGGTCCACAAAAACATAACAAAGGAGTCTGACGGGTTTCATAACCATTCCACTCAATTAACTATGCTTGACTTGAAATCAAATATCTTGTATGAATTTTTGTGTGATTTTATTTTACTATATGTATATACTACAATGTATGTGAATACTTGTTGTGGCAATAAAAAATAAAAAAATAATAATAATAATAAATGTTTATATTTATCAGTAGATAACAGCTAGAAAGCGGCATTGCGCTAAGCAATTTTCTGGGTGGCCTCTGCGGTTTATCATACGGTCTTTTATCTGTCACGTGGAGAGTAATCAGCTATGTGAAGGCTGCGACACGTAAGTTCTTCCCCTTTTTCTGCGAACAAGCTCAGCGAGCGCATGTCAGTAAAGTGAAAGTCTATTGGTTCTCATTTTGTCCCACCGCCCCCCACAACGCCTCCTTGGTTGGTTTCTAATCTTGTTTATATTTTTGTGAGGGCGCAATTTGCCCTCACCTAATTTTTCCTCAGTTGAAATGTCATAGTGATTTATAATATCGTCATAACAGTGTGCTATTGTAAGAACAACTTGTTAGTGATTTTTGTCTATTAAACGCCACTTAGGTGGCAATTAAAATCCAGCACGATCTTTGTATTTACTGTCAGTAAGCGAAGGCCGCTGCATGCACACAAAATTGCTACGACGTATAATTAACTTGTTGAAAGGGCGTCCCAATGTAAATTGTGTTTGGCTAATTTCTATTGTTAAACACCTCTACAAAGCGGACACTGGGCTGTATTGACAATAGTAGTATTGGACTACTACCTTGAAATACGTACGGTAATCGATTAATAAAGATAAATCAGTAAGTTTAGCTGTCAATGAACTGTAGATTAGACCGATGTTCGGCCGTATGATTGTCATCCGAGTAGTAGGGGAGGGACCGGTTACTCCTTTTCTTTGCGGATTTAATTAACTTTTTGTGCGACATAAATTAATGCCGATGACGTCATGCATCTCATAAAGATAGGATGATGTCATAGTTTATTTTTAGCTGGCAAGGAGCAAGTGACGTCAGAATTTCCTAGAGTTGACGTCTTCAAAAAATGTTGAGATCATAATCTATAAATAGAAAAGTGATATCATCTCCCTACTTGGTCATGATGATGTCATATTTATTCAGGTAACATGAGGTCAGGGTTTATTTTTACCTGCCAGTTTTTTTTTCTATCGTCCCGAAACACATAAAATGGCCATTCCTTACCAAGCAAATCATTTTCGAGATTCAATAATGATTTTTATATAATTAGCTATTTGCTATAGTCTTCTGATTAGATATTGTTTGCTATAGTCTTCTGATTGGATATTGTAGAAACTCTTATGTGTTCAAAATAAAAGCGGGCAAATTTTGAACGTGTTATCCTTGCAGATTATACTAAATGAAAAATCTTTAATCATTAAATTATTTTCACTAAAAATCGGTTATAAACAAAACTAAGACACGGAGGTTAACTGAAAAATCTTTACTTCAAAAGAAGGGGAAAGAAGGTTAAGCGAATGCGAAATCGTACTAATTTTTCAGGCAAAACATGAAAACGAGGTCGAAGCTCGGCGAAGCGAAAAACTGCCTATCAAGCAAAAATGTCAATCTTTGTTTACGTGACTCTGTAGAAAGTATTGCACAGGGTATGAAAATTCTATAGAAAAAAACAGGTGGTTCTAAAGTAAACCCTAACTGTTTTGGTTCTTAAATCAACTCCATTCTTGTTCCTAATGAGTGGAAAGTCAATTTATAAAAATAGGAATAACAGGTTCAGATCGCCTAGCAACACATGTCTTCTTGTTTAGCGCTAAAAATCGGATATACAAACAAAACACATACACACATACACAGAGTGGAGCTGAAAACTCTCTATTTCAATTTTGACTCACCATTACGAAAGCGTTTTCTTCGTTCTATCTCGAGGAAACGACTAACTATTGAAATCTTAGCGCTTAGTGAGCTTATGGTCTTGTCAATTCACGCTTCGTTAGCGTTAGTCAGTTAATTATGCGGTTCAACAAGCCCAAAGCTGAATACAAATTAGTTAATCTCTACAGCTAGACCCAAGGGAGCGCCTTGACTTATTATTGTAAAAACACAAACAATTAATAACTTAACAAGGATCAATTTAAACACGCGACAAATAACTTGACAAGACACGAGATACAGTTTTAAAAACTTTATTGAAAACCAGTGACAAAAAGAGTCAAATACACAGCGATTTGGAAGGGATGGAAATTAGACCTCCTCTTCGTTCTCCTCTTTAGAAGGTGAATAAAAATTGGTTTCCAACGTCTTGGCGTTTTTGTGTGTAATTAATGCACAATCGTGACACCGAAGAAAGCCCTCTTTGATGTATTTTCTCTCCTCGGGGATCAGGTGATCGCATATTGGAAAAATCTTGTAGTTATCGTGCCAAAAGCATTTAGGACATTTCATGATCAATGTGGAGTACACATTAGAGTTTTCGCAACGTTCACAGGGACTTTTAGAGTGAAAGGTGGTGGACGTTTCAGGGCTACTACTTTCTGTTTCCTCACTATCGTTTTCAGTGTCGTTGTCGCTCTCTTGGGTGCCTTCTGTTTCAACGCCATTCTCAGAAGCCACTTTCTCCTCCTCCTCCTGATTTTCAATATCCGATGAACTCTCCTCATTATTACTCTCATTATCGGAAGTATTTTCTACATTTCGGTAGCCTTTTTCCTTTTCTATTAAATCACTTAATAACTTTTTGTTTTTGATTAAACCTTTATCGATTCCTAACTCTGCAAGTCCATCTAGAAACGTATTCAGCGCACGAGGCTTGGTAACCTCATTGTTATGAGGGAGTAACAAATACTCAACTAGCTCGGCGATGTTTGTGACGGGAATAGTGCGTTTATTTCGAAGTAATTGTCCGCTGGGAGTCCAGAAAAGAATATCTTTGGACGCGGCAATACTATGCAGCAAATCAGAAGCACGCTTTTCCGACACTGCTCGGGAAAGATGACTCAAAACATCTTTTATTCTTGGTTCTTCTTTTATTCTTGGTTCTTCATCCTCGCTTTCATCACCAGAACTTTCACTTTCTTCATGTTCACTCTCGTGTTCTTCTTCAACCAAATCTATCTTTCTCTTCATTTTGATGAGTACCCGTGACAGACCGTAACTTCAAATGAGTAACTTATAGTTTCGTTCCCTCTTTTATAGCATCAAAAATTCTAGGCTTGTAACAGCAGGTACCAATAGGTCTTGAATAAAACCATCACCCTCTTGTTCAAGGATTCGCTTCTTTGTTTTGTAAGGTACATTTGTTTCTGCTAGGTTTACTAGAGCATCCTTATATGGCAACACTTTCCGCTTATTTTCTTCGGGGATAAGAATGTATTCCTTAAGTATATTGTATAAGACTTGGACTAATGCATGTAGTTGTTGTGGACTGGCTGTCCGTAAAAGAAACTGTCGCTGATGAGCTGGACAAACAGCTAAGAATTGAAGAAAACCACGATTGTTCTTGACAACTTGAGACATTGCGACAAACTGAACTTATGGTAGTAGTTTGCAGTCTTTCATTGACTGTCGTGGAGAAAAACAATGGAAATGTGATGGCCGTGGTGGTGGTGGAGGGAAAACAGTAGAATGAGGAGGAGGAGGAGGAGGAAAGGCAATAGAAATGAGGAGGAGGAGGAAAAACAATAGAAATGAGGAGGAGGAGGAGGAGGAGGAGGAGGAGGAGGAAAGAAAACAACAGAAATGTGGTGGTGGTGGTAGTGGTGGTTTTGGGGGAGGGAAACAATAGAATTTTATTGCCTGAAAACCTATATAAATGCGTAACATTCTACCTCTTTTTCAGTCTCCATTTTGCTCCTGAGGAGTTAACATGAGTTGGCTCTGTTCTGACTGCGAAAAGTCCTTTAGTAGAAAAGATAATACGCAAAGGCACGTGATGTCTAAACACCGCAATGCTGGTCTTACCCCATTTCAAACAGTTCCAATATTTTCACAGAAATGTCAGCGGTTTCGCTTCGAGCACCCTTTCACCTCCATGATTGCCGGAATGACCGGGTCCGGAAAAACGGCCTGGGTTCGATCGCTATTGCAACAAGCTTCAGAGACCATTTACCCTCCCCCGGAGAGGATCGTTTGGTGTTATTCACAATGGCAGCCTGCGTATACGCAAATGTTAGTCGCCATGCCAAATATTGAATTCGTCAAGGGAATTCCTACGGCTTTGGAACAGGATTCCTATTTTGATGTGAACAAACGGAATTTGATCGTGTTTGATGATCAGATGATTGACGCTAGTAAAGATAAGCGAATTGTGAACCTCTTTACTCGTGGTTCTCATCATCGCAATCTGAGCGTGATTTATATCGTGCAGAATCTATTTCATCAGGGGAAAGGTAGCCGCAGCATAGGCCTAAACAGCCATTATCTGGTGTTATTCAAGAATCCACGAGACAAATTGCAAATCTTGACTCAGGCGAAGCAAATGTATCCCGGGCAGACGGATTTCTTTGTAAATCAGTACGAAGAGGCCGTAAAAAGACCTTTTGGTTATCTTCTGATTGATCTGAAAACTAATACCCAAGATAATTGTCGGTTGCGTTCAAACGTCCTGCCCAGTGAAGAAGGCTTTAACCAAGCAGGGTTTCAAGAAAATATTCCTCAAGAGCTTCCTAAAATATCTGAAGCAGCAAACTCTTTCGCCTGTCCCGCTTCTTCCAGCTATGCAAGAAATACAAGGCAACATGGATGACGTGCTTTCTCGAAACGATCTTCGGGACGATGAAAAAGCTAAACAATACCTTCAGTTGCAAAACAGATACCTGGCTTTTAAAGAACAATTAAATACAAGAACACGACCGGGAGAAATAATCAGCACTGTTCCAGACTTAACATCAAGGACACAAGATTCTTCGACAGCAACGACAGCATTCTCGACTCCCCTCAACCCCTTTAATGTAACACCTGAATTAACACAAGCGGCTATCTCTCAAAAACCTGAAAAAGAAAGCCTCTCCCCTCCACCACCCTTAAATCCTGCTCTACTGACCCCTCCTCCCACAGTAGAAACCCCATCACAACAAGGCCCGAAGCGCAAAAAACGTCGAATTAAATTTGTAAATTATTTGGATGATCATAAAGCTCATGCCAAACAGCTGAAGAAACGTCGGCATAAGAAATTCAAACCTTACAAGTACTCCATGGGCGAAGAAGATGAAGATTAATTAATTTCCATTCCTTCCAAATCGCTGTGTATTTGACTCTTTTTGTCACTGGTTTTCAATTAAGTTTTTAAAACTGTATCTCGTGTCTTGTCAATTTATTTGTCGCGTGTTTTAATTGATCGTTGTTAAGTTATTAGTTGTTTGTGTTTTTACAATAATAAGTGAAGGTGCTCCCTTGGGTCTAGCTGTACAGATGAACTAATTTGTATTCAGCTTTAGGCTTGTTAACCCGCATAATTAACTGACTAACGCTAACGGCGCGTAAATTGACAAAACCATAAGCTCATCAAGCGCTGAGATTTCAATAGTTAGTCGTTTCCTCGAGATGGAACGGAGAAAACGCTTTTGTAATGGTGAGTCAAAATTGAAATAGAGAGTTTTCAGCTCCACTTTTTGTATGTGTGTATGTGTTTTGTTATATATCCGATTTTTAGCGCTAAATAAGAAGACATGTGTTGCTAGGGGATCGCACCTCTTATTCCTATTTTTATAAATAGACTTTCCACTCATTAGGAACAAGAATGGGGTTGATTTAAGAACCAAAAGAATTAGGGTTTACTTTAGAACCACCTGTTGTTTTCTATAGAATTTTCATACCCTGTGCAATACTTTCTACAGAGTCAAGTTAACAGAAAATGACATTTTTGCTTGATAGGCAGTTTTTCGCTTCGCTGAGCTTCGACCTCGTTTTCATGTTTTGCGTGAAAAATTTGTACGATTTCGCATTCACTTAACCTCCTATTCCCTTCTTTTGAAGTAAAGATTTTTCAGTTAACCTCCGTGTCTTGGTTTTGTTTAGAACCGATTTTTAGTGAAAATAATTTAATGATGAAAGATTTTTCATTTACTATAATCTGCAAAGAATAACACGTTCAAAATTTGCCGGCTTTTGTTTTGAACACATAACAGTTTCTACAATATCCAATCAGAAGACTATAGCAAACAATATCTAATCAGAAGACTGTAGCAAATAGCTAATTATATAAAAATCACTTTTCTGTTTATAGATTATGATCTCAGCATTTTTTTGATGACGTCAACTCTAGGAAATTCTGATGTCACTTGCTCCTTGCCTACTGAAAATGAACTATGACATAATCCATCTAAAAATAGGTATTCTGACGTCACTTGCTCTTTGCCAGCTAAAACTAAACTATGACATCACCCTATCTTAATGGTATGCGTGACGTCATCGACGTTAATTTAAACTATGATATCATCCTATCTTAATGAGATGCATGACGTCATCTACGTTAATTTATACCGCACAAAAAGTTAATTAAATCCGCAAAGAACCGGCGTAAAACATCCCTCCTCCACTACTCATCCGCGATCAAAGTTCAACTGAACATCTTGCACAAAGTACAGCACAGCTTCCTTAGCTTCCTTAACAACATGGAACTTTATCACAGTACAGAGTAACCATTGAATGTTAATCGTTAACAAACATTGCACAGTTTTTAAAAACCTCTATTAAGCGGACACTTGGGAAGCTCCCGAAGGTGTCCGCTTAATCAAAGAGGTGAATGTATAAAATATATAGCATCCTTGGAATTTCACCATGAAGTTTTTGGCGGCATTAACAGGTCAATGTATAGGCATTTGGTAGTGGTGATATAACCCTGGGCATTAGATGGTAATACACTAGTTTGCTATTCCCGGCCAGCAGCAATGCTCGTTGTTGTTACTTGTTGTAAGAACTGGGTTAAGTCCCGAATGTCTCGTTTTCCTGTGAACGTTGTTCTTATTGTTACATCGAGCCAATGTTCATCTTATTTCAGCAACAACCCAAGATCGATCTGTCCTCCATAATACAGCAAACACCTATGAATCACAAGGACCTAATGGTAAGTACTGTGGAGGTTAGAGTTGAAAGGGCAAATTGTTGGAAGGTGAAGGGTTACAAACCTCTATCGTTTCTGAGGCTTATTCCTTTAATTTAATGACAAGGTTTATGTATACATGCGTCCAAGCAACCCATGTTTAAATGTAGTATGTCAAGTCATTTATCTCATGAAGTGTTCTCTGTTCTATACACACCGGCACAATTGTCAAAGTATAACGTTACAATAAATGGTTGTCAGGGTAATACCTTTATCGGAGATTACATCACAGCAAACATTGGGGCTCTGCCTAGAAATGGTAACTATAAATTCCAGAACTTTACAACATAGGGTCACTTTCAACCATCTACCAAAAAAGCCATTAGATTATATACATTGTGAGACATTCTTTTCGAGATTAAACGAGCCACTAAAAATCACAAATTCAAAAGTGACCCTGTCTGCCATTCATCTCCATCACCAAACTTGTACTTATTATCCGTTTTAATTATCTTTCCTTCAGACTATTTTATCATTATTTTAAAATCAACCTGATTACGTTTTTGTGACAACTGTTGTTATCTTTGTAATAATAAGAAGCATGTTGTTAACGTAGTTATTTGCCCTTTGGCATTGACAAAAGTATAGGTTTATCCGGAATTGAATACCTGCCTAAAGTGCAGAAGATAGGCTACTTTTAACCATTAACCAAACGAGCTTTTAGATTGGTCAACTCCAAATCATTTCCTTTTAAGCAAAACGAGTCGACAATATTTATAACCTCAAAACTTTTAAAATCCTGTGTGCGGTTGCTCCATCACTGGTATAAGCCCTTTTACTCAGTTGTAGGTACCTCCTGATAGTTATTTTGTGGGCGGGAGGTAAATATGCGAAGTTACCTACCTGATCTTCCCGTTTTTAACTTATTCTGTAGGAACATTCAGAGCCTTCCTCCTCCCTCTGTTGGTCTAAGCTAAACAAAACGTCAAGATCATTTTTTCAAGGCGGAAAATTGTTGTTGTTGTTTTTTTTTGCGCCATTCAAAGGTCGCTAGCTCCGGGATGCAAATTTGTGAAAATTGTTACTTTTTTGCCTTTTCTTAATTTTTCTTGCTTTACGGCCTCAGTTAAAAGTTTTTAATTTTAGTATTACCGAGAATAATCCAAGTAATAAATGTAAAGAAGATCATCACTGGATAAAGACGAAATATTGAATATATGAAAATGATATTTTGGAATTGTGGGACAGAAAATGAAATGTAAAGACGATCATCGCATTTTCCGAGGCTACCTTCACAGTTTCAGAAAGGCTGTATGGGATTCAAACCCTTGACCTTTTGGATACCCGTGCAGAGCTGTACCTGTTCAGCTGACAAGCCATCGGGAGGTGATATTGTGATAGCTTTTAATGTAGTGATTAAAAAAGATTTATCTTTTTCGTGTCTTTGCTATTTCTGCAGGTGACAGCAGCAGCGGCTGAAGAGTAGCGTAGTAGTCGAATGAAATGCAAAAGACGTCTATTAAGTACGTACATTTCAAATAGACGTTGGTTTGGCCGTAGTTAGAAAGGGAAAGTTTTTTTTCCTTCTGTAGGGAAGGGAGTTTTGCATCTCTTGGGATAAAATCCAAATTTCTTTCCATGTCAGAAAATTTCATCCACTTTAAAAAAGTCAACTGTTGTTTAGCTTTAATGGATTCTCGTGTTATTGGGCAAAAATGACGCGATTGCTTGTGAAGTTTTAATTTTGTTGGTTAGTGAGTGTCAACTGTGGTAATAAATGAACCAGAGAAATCCTATTGATAGGTAGGAAGTTTTGTTTGTCGATTTGTTTAAATTAGTATTTCAATAGATAGCTTTACGAGTTAAAACTTGTGACATAAAATGTCACTGAAATAGCAGTTCAGCCTAGCTGACGTTAATGTAGCAGTAGCGTTTTTAGACATCTAAATAATTCTATGTTTTTGTAAAATTAGGAAAAGACCGAAAACAATACTCGATTTAAATACCTAGATTTAGTTTTAAATACCTACAATACCTAGATTTAAAGCTGAATTGGTATTGTCTAGTGTTATGAGCTCACGTGAAACGTGGTCATAAGTACAATAATTTTTTTTTTCAAATAATAGTTGCAAGGTTGTTGTTACTATTTTCTTGTCTTTTATCATTTTGTTTCAAAATACAACACTTGCCGTTCTGGATTTGACTCCTTCACACGAGGGCGAACGGGAGGAGTTTGGGTCGAGACAGGTTTGCAAAGATACGCACACAAGATCGCTAAGGACATGATTTAAGTATAATTTTTTTTTTTAAAGAAAGGAAAGACATCTCACTTTTCCCTGGTAAAAGCACTGTTCACCAACCAGCATGGAAAATAAAGTAGACATCAACTGGAGTACTTTTGTTACGAAGGAGTTGCTTTTAGTTTTGTTTTTGAGTTTTGGTATTTTTAAGGTTTTTCTTATGTTTAGGGTATCCGAGTAATTGTTTTGTAGTACGTGCTAGTTTCTTAATAAATAGTTCATAGTCCAAGGAAATTCAATATATAGCCCATACGGTTAGTTCCTGAGTTTTTGAGAAGTATATTATATTTGAAGGTAGTATAAAACTTAGTTATAGTTCTTTGAAGTAGGTATGTTCGGGGATCATAGCTGACCTTGAGTTTTACCCACACTGAAGTTCTTGTTTTGTATGCTTGGTCCTAGCGA